TTCATAGTTTGTTGTTAAAGGTTATTATGGGAGTTCTTTACTCCATGCAACCTGGATTCCATTTATGAAATTGATGAATTAACTAAAGAACTAAGTAACGGTAAAAGAAATTCACGTGCTTCAATTATAATTTTAATTTTCTGATCAAATTGCATTAAGCGTTCAAATATTTATTCACATAAATCACATTTAAATTACATATTCATTCGTACGATATTTATCTACCTTACTAATTTTGGAACAGTATTTTCAAATTTCCTTGGACGATATCATTAGGTGATTAAAATGAAATTCGTCAGAAATATAGATAAAAGGAAAGAAAAATTAATTCGCGAATGATTGATCGAATTCCCAAAGTTTCCACGGTTTTCTCGATGCTAGTTAATGCAAACGGCGTGCGTCTCGACGTGAATCGCTACCGAGATGATGATTTCCAATCGACGAACAGAGGAACACAATCGTCACGTTACACAATGGATATCCGTTTTCTTTGATTTCACCGAGCATCCAACCAGCTGAGGTTGCTTCTTCCCTCAGCATGCGAATGAAAAATGCAAATGAACTGACCACCTGTGCGCTTTGGTTAATATAAATACGCGAATTACATAAAATTTACAGCGGTCGATCGATTATATCAAGCTTTGTTTAATTGCACTTGTGAATTGAATTACGCTCTGTACCATTATCGATAAATAATTCAATTGATTTATTCAATAAGATCTCGAGAACTCGAATATGTTCTATATGCAATTCTATTTATTTCTTTCCGTTTCGATTGTGAAAACTTCTGTAAATCGAAATCTATATACAATTTTAGATATATTTTATATACTGCTAAATATACTTTTTGTTTGAAATTTCTCACGAATGCATAAAAACTAGACCATAGAAATTTTCAGCGAAGAAATTTGAAAAAAAAAAAAATGATACAACAAACAACACAGACTTTTATCTACGAAAAAGCATCGAAGCGTTTCGAAAACACGCTGTCGTGAGCCTTGCAGTAAGTAAAAGAATTGACCAACCGATCACCGTGGTAGTTGTAGAGTGAAGTTAACTGTTAACTCACCTGGTTGCGTGGTTGCCGTCGAAGACACATCCGGAGTCTTCGTGATCGTGTCGTCCGAACTCGACGTCCACGTCACGAGTCCAGGTGAATAGGTTGTCTGAAACGTTTCTTCCGTGGTTTGATTAACAACCGACACCTTCGTTGTAGGGGCGTACGCTGGCGTGCTGGTGGTGGTCGTGTCGACGGATGACGAAGACGCGAAACTGGTATTCGTTACGGTGCTGGAACTGAGCACAGTCGGGGATGTCGTCGAGGAAGGCTTGCCCCACGTAGGTTTCGTAGGCTTCGTCGATTCTACCGTTGGTCTAGGTTTCGTAACGGCAACGGTGGAAACATCGATCGACGACAGAGGTGCCGTTCTCTCGGTGGTCGTTGCGTGTTCTGGCTTGGACACGGGATTCGGGGTCGTTGTCGCGCTCGAGATCTTCGTCGGCTTTGGCCTCGGGGCAGTTGTTAACGGCTTGGCGGTCGTTGTCGTTCGAACCGTCGTCGGCTTCACTTTTTGGGTAGCAGGCTTGGTCGTAGCGACACTGGTCGTGAATTTTTGAACAGTTACGCTTTCCGTGGTGGTGATTAAAGGTTTCGTCTCCGTGGAAAACGAGACGTTCTCGGTAGTCGTGGCGATGGTTGGTCGATGCTTGATGGACGTCAAGAGAGGTTTCGTTGTCGTCGTTGATAACGACAAAGTGGTTAAACCGATACTCGTAGTTGGCTTTACTGTTGTAGAAGAGGAGGATGGTCTTCTCGAGGGTGTAGTTGGTTTCTTCGTGATGGGCGTTGGTCTTCTTGTAGTGGTGCTGGCTGTTGGTTTCTTAGTGCTGGTCGTAGGTTTCCTGGTGGTAGCGTGGGTCAAAGGTCTCGCAGTTGTCGCGTTTCTTGGCGGGAACCTCGTAACTGGAGTAACTCTTTGAGTAGTGGTGATTACAGTTTTCAAAGTTGTCGATTCGGTGGTCGACTGAGTCGTTGTCGTAGATGTGGTTGCGTTGGTGGGCCTGTGAACGGTCGAGTGAACTGGTTTGTGCGTCGTGGACGAGTGAATTGGTTTTTTGCTAACGAATTTAGTCGTTTCGATGAACGTTTGCGTGGTGGTTGATGGCCTTGTCGCAGTTTCTAGTGTCGTTGGCCTTTGAGTGGTCGTCGGCGCTGGCTTTTTAGTTGCCACTTTGGTCGTTTCTTTTACGGTGGTTGCTTGTGTACGAATACTCTGCGTGGTGTACCCGTTGGTCGTTTCCTAAGTATTCACAAGGGAGAATTATCTCATCGAACGGCCGTTGATCATGCTTCTCGAGAAGGATGGATAGTTCTCGAGAGAAAGAATTTGTCCTTGAGAAATGCTTCGACATGCTTAAATTCGGCACTTTACGGTCGAAGTATATATCTCAAGTCGTACCTGCGCTTACCTCGGTGGAGTACGTTCCAGATGGTTTCTTCTCGTTGATCGGTTTCGGCTTTGAGAAGTACTCGGGTATGTCGTTGCTCTCAATTGGCCCGTGAGTCGTGACGAACGGCCTTCCAGGCGATCCATCATCGATACTGTTGTCCTGGGGGAAAATGTCGGGTTCCTCGTCTATCTTGCAACAGCTACCGAAGTAGAAACGGTCGATGCAAGTGCCAAGGTGCGTGCCATTCGCCTTCGCGCACGTGAATGCGAACATGCAAACGCCAGTCTCGCCAGTTCTCCGTGATACGCACGGCAAGTGCCTGATGTTCCTTCCCGTATCTGCGCACATTTTCAACAGAAGTATTTTAAATATTTAAGTACAGTAAAAGGGATATAAAATATTCCCTCCACTCGAATTGTTCCGATCGAAGTTTCAACATCGTGCCCCGGTGGTTATACACGTATGTTAAACAATTTCAATGCAATATATTTTTCTTTCAATAACCGCGAGAAATTAAATTTCTATTACAGAGATCTTCTTGAACGAACAGCCTGTATTCGGAGCATACGCTGTCTAAAGATTGAACGAAACATAGTAATTCAATTTTGAATCCAAAACAATTTCTTCCTCTTTCTCTCTTCTTCTTCTCTCTAT